ACTGGCACCCATCTACAAGAGATTGAATCCCTGAAAACTTTTCTATATAATACCTTTAAGATAAAAGACCTAGGGAGACTTCATTATTTTCTGGGACCAGAAGTTCAATACATAGAGAAAGGGGTTTTGATGTCACAAAGGAAATTCACTATGGATCTTTTGAAAGAGTTTGGGTGTATAGATTGCCCTCCTATGACATCTCCTCTGGACCCCTCTATGAAGTTACAAGCTGATGAAGGAGCTCCACTGGCAGATCCTTCCTATTACAGGAAGTTGATTGGCAAACTCAATTTCCTCACTAACACTAGGCTAGACATTGCCTACAGTGTACAACATCTCAGTCAATTCATTTAAAGTCCCAGGGAACCTCATTTGAAGGCAGCATACCATGTTTTAAGATACTTAAAAGGTGATCCATCCTTGGGTATTTTCCTCAACAATAATGCAGACTATGGGGTGAATGCTTTTTGTGACTCAGATTGGGCTACTTGTTCCCAGTCCAGAAAATCAGTTAGTGGGTACATAGTGTTGCTTGGTACTAGTCCTATTAGTTGGAAGTCTAAAAAGCAGTCTACCATTTCCCTATCTTCTGCAGAGGCTGAATACAGATCAGCTAGAATGGTTGTTGGTGAACTTGTATGGTTGGCAAGACTTCTCAGTGAACTCACTGTTCCATTAACCTTGCCTATTCCCATATTCTGTAATAGTCAGTCTGCCCTACACATAGCACGGAATCCTGTGTTCCATGAACGTACGAAACACATCGAAGTAGACTGTCACTTTGTGAGAGACCAGCTGTAGGAAGGGTTAATTTCCCTTCACCATATTCCTACTAATGATCAGTTAGCTGACATATTCACCAAGTTATTAAAGAATTCTACACTTCTTAGCAAGTTGGTTGTGAGCTCCTCACCTCCAACTTGAGGGGGGGAGGATGTTGAGATTATTATTTTCTACACCTTGTAATGCATTGTATTTATTCTTTTATTCTTTCATACCTGTATTAGACATTAGGTGAGTTAGCTGATGTTAGGTACTTGTCTAGATTCTATAAATAGGACATTAACTGTGTTATTTTATTTTTGAGTTGTAGTAATGAAAATCAGCTCCTCTATCTAGAAGCTTCATTTCGTGCATTCTCTCCTTTGCACGATCCGCTATCTTCCGCCATTAGAGCTCACACTGAGCTCAAGTTTCTCACCTCCATTACCCCTGAACTTCACAAAAGGTTGTGATAGGATAGTAACTATCCATCAAATTTTTAACTAAAAGTTTCGATCGAGTTCGAGCAGCGAACCACCGGAACTAAAGTTACGATTGCAGGCCTTCGGAGCCGGTGATCTGTTCGGCCTAAGATCCTCTCTCTTACTTGATGAAACGCGCAGTTCTCAATCATTTCGTGGCACCGGGCATGGCTGAACCATCTACGATGGGGGGAGCTAATGCACAGGGAAGAAGTTTAGATAAAAGAATACGTTCTTGTGTTAGTAGGGAACCGTACGATCTTTTCGCCTATTGTATTGAATCAATAAAAAAAAGAGGTCAGTGCTACGACCCCCTATTGTTTGATCCAATATTGACACTCGAAAATAAAGATGTCTTTGGTAGAAAAGCTTTACCCATAAAAGTGGGTCCAACTCTAATTCGAGTTATAGCCTGTTTGGCCGTACCTCTTTTCGGCCAAAAATATATATATATTTTTTTTAAATTAAGGTGTTTGGCCAAGCTTTTAGAAGAAAAAAATTGCTTTTGTAGAAGCGGAAGTAGTTTTTGAAAAACAGAAAAAGTAGCTTCTCTCAAAAACACGTTTTTGAAAAATATTTTTGAGAAAAATATACTTAGAAGTACTTTTAAAAGCTTGGCCAAATACTAATTGTTGTTTAAACGTGCTTTTCAAATTGATTAGCCAAACACAAATTGTTTTTTACCAAAAAAAACTTTTTTGAAAAATAATTTTCAAATAAACTGGTTTTAGAAGTAAGGCCAAACATGATGTTAGTCAAGCCCCAAAGCGGAAACCGAACATCGAGTGAAAACTAAAAAAGAATAGTGGATGTCACAATTTGAAATGCAATATTATGTACAATTGGATCTTAGACTCTACTGTTGATTATGTAAACAAACAAATGACAAAATTGACAAACTTGCATAATCTTCATTATTGTTTCATAGCAGCACTACGTTTTCTTGTTTTAGTAGCAACATTCTCTTAATCTCAACTTAACTTTTTTATTTTTCAGTTTTGTACATATTTCAAATTTTAAACTTTCATGTGTGCTTTATCTGTTTTCTGTTGTGTTGTCAATTTTTAATAGTACTTCATAGGCCATGCTCTCTGTACTTATATATGCATGTATTTGGAGACCATATTATATATGCTCAATAAATATTTGGACCAAAAACAATAACTTGCTCAACTGCTTTTGGCTTTAAGAAACATTGCTCCGTCCCGTGTCACTTACATTCTAATAAAGTTATAATGTAGTTTCAATTTTGCTAAGTTCAAATAAACCTAATTTTATGTTATATATATGCACCTAATTTTAAAAAAAAAAATTAATGCTCCCTCAAATATTTTGACCTATTTTAATTTTTCGTTACTTATTTAGGTAGATGACAATAAATTAACAAATATGTATGTGGCCGATTTCCCGATGAGAAAACAGAGGAAGGGTACGGATGCACGAGATTGTGATCGAGGTTAGAGACCCTTCGTATCGAGATCCAGGAAGAGAGAACGGTGTGCTCGTCATCGGGTACGGTAAAGCAACGCGCTCCGTGCCAAGAATGAGTTCTAAGACCTCAGGAAACACGGTAAAACGGTTACACACGACGGATAGAGGGCCGTGATATTCGCACTCAACCGGCTGTCACAGCGCGGATCTCGTTCAATGTCGATTGTGGATCAGTAATTACTGGAAAAAGAAGATTTTTACCCTTTTTAGACTTATACAAGGGATGAAACTCTCCTTCTATATAAAGGGGAAGTTTTTCTTTTGTAAGACACATTGTAACACGCAAATCAAAGCAATACAAGTTTATTTCTGCCTTTTAGCTACTGTAAAAGTTCTTGTTCAAGATCGAACCGATGGTCCGATCGAGGACGAGGTCACTGTTCAATCTAAGTTCAGGCTTGACCATAACATCACAATTGGTTTGATCGCTTATTTCGTCTTTAATTCATTTATCTAATATTCTTTACTACCTGTGTCGAATCAAACCACGTATCCTTAAAATCGCGTATAAATTTAATTATTATCCAATTTCGGGGAAACAACGTAAATTACGAATAATGAGAAAAGTTGAGCAATATTCATTGCTACCACTCCTGCCCATGCCACTATATGGTAAAAAGGAAGTCTGATTCTCTTTCTCACAATCTCTTTTTCTGAACTTTCCTCTTTTCTGATCATTGGATTACATCACCCGGATTTATACACATAAAATAATACGGCATAATTCTAATTATAATATGAGAAAATCATTGTATACGTAGGTCGTAGGGTAATATAATAAGAAGGGGTTTTGTTTGATAGTGTGATTGATGGTCTGATGATATTCTAACAAAGATATGATAATTTAAAGCCAATTGAATGAATATCAGCAATAATACTTCAATTAAATAATGAATGGAATGGAAGCATCAGTTGGCTAGGGGTCATTTTCGCACTGAAGAATTGGTAGTGGCTTCTCCTATTTTATATTTAAAAAAAGGTATTATATTGCAGCTTAATTAATTATTCAAGGAGGACCTTATATCAATGATGAACTTTTATGATTTCTGTTAATATCATCCAATAAAACCTTCTACACAGACCTCAAGATCAACAGAAGAAAATTAATTCCAGATTTGTTTTTTATTTACTATATATCTTTTCTGATTATCTTTTGCCCCGGCGAGGTTATTATATTAGTGCCCTCAGATATATCTTAATCTTGGGATCCAAATAATTTCTGAAATCTAAAATTGAATTCCAAAGCTGTGCATATAATTTAAACTCATTTCGACAGTGGCTGAAACATCTCTTAATAACGTTGTCAATTAGTATCGTCAGATGAAAAAAAGTTTATTTTATGTGTAATTAATTTTTTTTATTATAAAGTACGTAGACACTAAGCCAACACTGCGTGAAACTAGTGAACTCAAAACCACCAAAGTACCCAGACCAAACTATATACTAAAGAGGAGGACTGTTATAATACGCCGATGTTAGTTCTATATATAGACTAATAATGTAAAAAGTATATACTTATGTTATAGTGAAACACTTACTATCATGTCAAAAGCAATAGCTGGTAGAAAGGACAGCAACTTAATTTTTTAACCAAGCCTATTAAGCAAACGTCATGTTCGACCATGACTCCGACCTGGACCGCCGCAACCCCCTCGTCAGTCGGATGTTGGCGTTACCCAACAACTTATATAATGGCTTATGCAGTAATTACTAATAAATTTCTATGATAATTAAATTGATTATCAGTATAACTTAAATCTAGTGGAGAATGAGAGGGGAACGAAATCTTTGTAGATGAGGGGGGTAAAGAAGGCACCTGAAGGCTGAAACTGCAAAGTCTGACGTATATTTGTATTCTGCAGTTTAAAGACGCACGTGAGATTATATAGACTTGATACGAAAATAAAGGGGGACCAGATAACCTGTTACTCCACAGTTTTCCATTTCAAAATTCTGACTCCAATGAATATCAACTTTGTACTATGCGATCTTAACATATCTCTGTGTAAAATAGGGGAAAATACATGCTTAATGTTGTCTAATGAAAAAAAAATTAGTCCGGTGCAGAAAGTATCCCGCGCTGGGTCTGGAGAAAGGTCACACAGCCCAAGCCCAAGGGGACATATTGTAGGTAGTCTACCCTGATGCAAACATCAATGGCTCACGGCTCGAACCCGTGACCTATATGTCACTCAAAGACAACTTAACGTTGATCGAAGGCTCTCCTTCCAATTGTTGTCTAATACAAGATTAACTAAAATCCCAGGAAAGGAACATCATTATTTTAGCATTTCAGAGAACTTAATTAATTAGTGCCCCTCAACAGCATTTACATAAAAAGGAAGAATGTTGCTCTCCTTTTAGGTTTCTATATGTCATGATCCCTAAGGAAATTTGCATAGAGAAATTCTTACCGTTGATAGATGCAACTCAACTGTCATAATTCACAATTACGTACTATACTGAACTAGAAAAGAAAAATAAGTTACTATAGTAGGTAAAATTAAAATTAATGAAAAGGAATCCTGGAAAATAATCTGTACTATTCTGTTGGATTAGTAGCAGTAGGTGGCGGACCAATAGCAGCGCCGCCACCACTGCCATCACCAGCATTACCTCCACCATCTCCGCCACCACTACCACCGCCTTCTACAGTGATAACACCGCCGCTACTAGCACTGCTGCCAGCCGTCACCGAACTGGAACTTGGCCTTTTCCGTTTCTTCTTTTCATATGGTATTCCTCTAGCTTTAGCTTGACTTTCCCTAACTTCCCTTAAATATATTCTAACAGCTTTTGCACCAAAAGGATTTGATTCAGGCTTTCCTCCATTTTCTTCATAAGCAGCTCTTAGCCTTCCAATTAGGGCATCAAGGCTACCCCAAGCCTGTTTCAACGGACACGCACACGGTGCTGGTGGATTCGGGTGCCCGAAATAAGGGCACCCGGTCACGTGCACCTTCGTCTTCCCGAACTGATCGAGGTATTTTAGGAACTCGATCACGTGAGCTCCGCTGCAACGGGCTAGGGTTAGTGGTGGCTTGTGGTTCCTTAAGTACTGTAAGAAAGTGTTCCAATCTCGTCGTTTTTGTGACTCGTAGCGGCTCGGTGGTGCTGCTGGAGCCGCAGATCCTCCTGTTGAAATGTAATTATTAAGTAAATAAAAGTATATATTTTCAAATTAATTATTTAAACTTTTGATTTTTAGATGAGATAATCATACAATTCAATACCTTCACTCTCAGTGATTCGACCACTTGCAGTTGCTGATGATGGACCCTCTCCTCCTCCACCACCACCACCATTATTGTTCGGGTTGGATGCTCCAACCCTGGATGTAGAATCCATAAAATACAATCAATATATTATGTTAGTAGGAGTTGATTTGCATCCAATCCTTAATCGCGAGAATCCATTGTAAGAGAGGGAAGCTTTACATCCTTGTTTGACAGTTAGCTAAGCGAAAAGTCATGATTGAACAAGCCTTGCACAATAAATCAAGTGTCTATACTAGTTCTAGTATAGGATACTAATTAATTAAATAGGTCTGTCACCGATGACATAAGATCCTTCTCTGCTTGTCTAACTGCTCCAAATTTTCATATGCTAAATAAGATAAGGAAGACAAGTTAAAGCAGAAAGAAAGCCTTAACTCGAGAAATAGCTAGAGAAACAAGAGCAGCAAGACAAAAAATGGCGTTGAACGAGTTGTAGAATTATTTGGACCAGTTCTTTTTTTTTTGTTGTTGTTGTTGTAGATTTTTGGGTTTTTCCAGAGTAGAACAAGTTGAGGGGTTTCAAAGTAAGAATATAGCTGATGATGGGACGTAAAGGATCGAAGAAGAAGAAATATAAGTGAATGTGTGAGAGATTGAAGTGATGAGACTGTTTCTTAAGTTCAGAGAAAGAGAAAGAGAGAGAGAGAGAAATAGAAGAAGAAACAAGGAGTGAAGGAAATTAGGGGAGTAATTGAGGTGGTGGCCCCGGGCGGAGGAGACAGAGGGTTTACTATTCACATCACTGGCGGCCCCGCCACTCTCTCTTTGCATTTGCACTGTTTTATCATCTTGTCTTCTATTGGTATAATCCAACGTATTCCCCCATCTGTACCATTCTTCTTGACAATAATTATAATGGTTTCCCCATTTTCTTTTTTGCAGGAGACTTGACATAATTGGTAAAGTTATAATCATGTGATTAGGAGGTTACGGGTTTGATTGAGCTGTAGAAACAGTCTCTTATATAGATGCAGGGTAACACTGCGTACAATAGACCCTTGTGGTTCGGTAGTTTCCTCCATTTTCTTTTTTGAAGGGGAGCCATGGCGTAACTGGTAACGTTGATGTCATGTGACGTCACGGGTTCGAGCCGTGGAAATAATCTCTTACATAAATATAAGGTAACACTACATACAATAGGCCCTTGTGGTCCGGCAGTTTCCCCAATTTTCTTATTTCAAGGGGAGCCTTGGTGTAACTGGTAAAGTTGTTGCCATGTGATCAGAAGGTCACGGGTTCGAGTCGTGGAAACAATCTCTTGCATAAATGTAGAGTAACACTGCGTACAATAGACCCTTATCGTCCGGCCCTTCCACGGGCGCTTCGCATAGTGGGAGCTTAGTGCACCGAACTGATTTCTTTTTTTTTTTTTTTTTTTTGCATTCGATATTGGTATTTGTATTGGGGCCAAATTAAATCTGAATTCTTCCGGAAGTCCCATCTTGGAAAACGAAATCTCTGATCAAGATGATTATAATGATCACTTATATTGTTGGGTGAGTTTAAAAAAGTTTCTTAAATATAAACTTAGCTCGTGTGTTCTCCGCCGACTATTTAACAATCTTTCATTATTTGATTTAACACAACAATGAAAATTTAAGATTTAATGAGAACTCGCATTTAGATCATGACAAGTTTTTGTAATTTCTGCTATTATATTTCTCTATTTCTTCTTAAATTATAATTCATGCATAATTAGTAAAGAAGAAAAAAGTTGGGCTCTCTTCTAGTAATATTTTCTTTAAACATCACGAGGGAATATAATATACGAATTTGTTAGCTTCAAAATTATACTATAACAAACTAGAAGTTGGAATATTTTTATTCTAACTCCACTTCTGCGGGAACAAGAACTTGTAACATATCTACCAAAAATAAAAAGTTTATTAATTTACACATAAATTTTTTTTATTATATGAAATCACACAGAACGAGATTTATCAAAATTCTAGCATTGCAAATTGTGAGAGTATTTGTAATAGATTATAAGGCCTCTCAGATTTATAATTGTTTTTCTTGGGGTAGATCTATAAATAGATACTATGAATCTAAGCAAGGCTGTGTCATATCAGAGTTGCTTTTGAATTAGCTGTTACTACAAGGTACGTAGTGGACAGGTATAATCTAAAGTCAAAAGTTCCGAATAACACCTCTTGATAATGAAAGGATTAATCATGCTTATAACGTTTTTTCTCACGATCTGGGTATCCGCTTTGCGATCCTGACTAATTATAATTTGTTATATCGCATGCTAATTGGATGGTGCAAATATTCATTAATTAGCTTACTCCCAAGTTCTAATTCAGAATTTCATATCACTAAAGTGCAAAAGTATCACTACACGCAATATATTTACATCGCTAGATAAACTTAAAAATTTCAAAAAAAAAAAAAAATTTGTCATAAACTTAATACAACAATATGTTTTTTCTTAAATTCTTATAACGATATATATACTTCCGGGGCAGGCTCTAGTGTTAATACTTATAAGGCTAGTGCCTTATTAGGCCACAAATTTAGGAGACCCTATTTTCAGAAAGGAATTTTTACATTCCTATGCCATATAGGAAACTATATTACCCTCAATGTTGAAGGTTTGATTTAATTACCTTTAGTATACCTAATTACCAAATCTATACCATAAGCTATTTTAACGGTACATTAAATGTACCGTATATTACTCCTACATTAAAGCTACCGTATATTCCCCCAAATACTCCCCCCCCCCCCCAACGTTTCTCTATGTCAAACCCACACCCTCACACACGTATCACCCCACAACCACGTTTCAAAACCTTTATTCCTCTGCTATAACCAGATTTGTTAATATAACTCCCACCATTAACGTACAAATTCAAGCTTTTTCTTCTACAACCGGTCAAAATTGAAGTGAAATCTTCAAAGTACATCTCAATGAAGAAGAGCAGACCTTCAAAGCACAGCCCTAAAAAAGCTAGAGAACATGAAACCAAATTCTCCCTCTATATTAACAGAAAATTGAAGAAACCCTTCAACAAAGTTGGTTCCCCATTTAACTCCAGTTGAAGTTCATCAATGAAGAACAACAAAGCTTCGAAACAAAGTCCTAAAAAATGAAAAGGAAAAGAGGTTTTGGTAGACGACGACTTTGCAGAAGAGGTCCCTAATCCTAGTATTTCAAATTTACGGAAGTCTGATATTACGGTAATATCTATAAAATTCCTACATTTATCTACAAATAAACTACACATCAGTTTTAGGATGTATAAAGCAATATTATTTTCATGATTATCTACAAAATTACTACATTTATACTGCAATTAAACTACAATCTATGTTGAAAAAATATTGACTGCAAAATTTTTCTCTTCATCTACAAATTTTCTACAAAAATTCTACAACTATACTGCAAATCAGTTTAAGTATGTATAAAGCAGTATTATTGTAACATCCCGTATATTCGGACTAGGTGTGGACATATTAAATGGGTATTAATTTCATATTTTATACATTTGAAGTCTCATCGGGATGATTATGGGTGAAAATAGTTATTTTGGAATCAAGACGGAGAGTGAGGTGCATAAGATTTGGCAAAATCGACTAAGTTTGCAGAAGGTCCATCTTCCAGCAGAGTTTAGTGACAATGTGTAAGGAATTTGGGAAAACACAAAGAATGAAAGTTGTAGGCCTTTGCAATAGCTTTCCAACGATATATTGTGGATCCCAAACGGAGTTCTGTACAAAAAGTTATGCCTGTTTTACAAAAAGGTATGCAACCACCACGGTCCGCCGCGGTGGCGAGGCAGTGTTCCAGCAATTTACCGCGGTCGGGACCGCGGTCGCGCCAACTGGGACGCGGTGGACGACTTGGAAAGTTGTTTTTTAATCCCTATTTCGTCCCCCACAGTCCTAAAACATAAAAACTTGCTCTAAAAAGTAAAGCTCTAAAAAACCTAACTCCTTAAGGGTCCCTCCACCACCCAAGGTAAGTTCTAATGGTGATTCTAACTTAATTTCAATTTCCTAACATCTTATTAACATGATTAAACCCTCCATATCATTATATATTCGATTGGGACACCATTGTTGAGAGAAGAAACCCTAGAACTCAAATTCAAGAAGATTGAACGTCGAAAAGGTAATATCTTCACCCTCTAATTGATTCTATCATTGAATTAATGATTATAGACTCTAGTTCATGAGATATGAGTTGATGAGTTTGATAGAAAAGCATGAACGGTGGTTGGTTTGGGTTGTTGATTGGTTATTATTGGTTATGGGTGTTGATTACCTTATGGGTGATAAAGAATAATGTTGAATTATAATCATTTGAGACTTTAGAATTTATCTAGGAGCAAGAGAATGGGTTATTGGGTGTAGAGACACCATTAATAAGGGCTATGAAGCTTTATACCACCAAGTGTTTGATAAAATACCTAAGTGACCAAAACATGGCTATTGTTGCTAATTTGGAATCCCTTTGACTTGTATTGATATAGATTAAAGTTGAAAGGGTTGGCGAATGTTGTATTATGATCAAGAGCAGGAAGTTAAGGTATGTGAGGCTAACTCTCTATGTTTGGGAGTTAATGATTCTCCCTACACTACGTTTCTTTTACGACGTTACTAATTGCCTCAGAAATATAGTTTAGCCTAGTTCCTTGAATAGTTGCAGAACTTCTACTCTCTAGCTTCATAATTCATTCACCGCTTTCATTCTGAACGTTGTGAGCTCAGTGCGTATTCAATATAGACTTGGGTTTGATGCCCCCGAGTCTTAGTATAGATTACTCAGCATGCCATAAACAGTTGAAGTTTCAGTGTTCATAATCAGTTCAAGAATACATGTCTCAGTCTAGTCCCATTTAGTTTTCCAGTATTATGTAACTCAGTATGATCCTGTATTCCAGTATTATGTAACTCAGTGTGATCCAGTATTCCAGTATCATGTAACTCAGTGTGATTCAGTATTTCATTATCATGTATTGCAGTTTGATTCTCAGTTCCTGAATGTTGAACACCTGTATTTGGGCCTGAGGACGCAGTTTATGCTTTATGCATCTTTAGGCCTGAGGCCGCAGTTTATGCTTTATGCATCTTTGGGTCTGAGGCCGCAGTTTATGCTTTATGCATTTTGGACCTGAGGTCATAGTTATGTATACGTATACTTAGGCCCAAGGCCGCAGTTGTGCACATATATATATATTGGGCCCGAGGCCGCAATTTATTTATTCAGATAAATAGGTTGTTCATCATTTAGAAGAGGGAGTATTCATATCCTTACTTCCTTTGTTCAGTTCAGTTATCAGTTATCATTTCAGTTACCAGTTATCAGTTCAGTTATCCGTTATCAGTTCAGTTATCAGTTATCATTTTAGTTATCAGTTATCAGCTATCAGTTATCGTTTCAGTTTCTGTTTCAATAGTTATCATTTCAGTATCAATTATCAATTCTCAGTTATCAGCTCAGTTTCAGTTTCAGCATTTATAAATTATTTCTTTCAGTTGCTTTACATACCAGTGCAATTCAAATGTACTGACGTCCCTTTTGCCCGGAGCCTGTATCTCACGATGCATGTAATGATTTACAGGTTGATGATTCAGAGCACTAGGATTCTCGTACCAGCTACTTGGTGATCCCCAGTTCTTTCGGGGCATTATCATTACCTTACAGTTTTCAGTATTTTCAGACAGTCAGTGTTTTTAGTAATTCATTAGAGACTTCATAGACTAAGAGGAACAGTTTGACAGAGTCTTAGGCTTTTCATGTTAAGCAATGTTGGCTACATATATGTTTCAGACTTGTATTAGTATATCCGCACTTTGATTTATATCATCTA